TATTAAAAGGGTTTAGAATGGAACTTGAAATCTTGATTTCTTGATAAATTTATCTTGAAATCTTGATTTATTATGACTAAAACGTTTGCATGTCTAATATTTGTTAAAATTAGATACGAATTAAACAACGCACCCAATGAAATCTTTATTATAAAAAAATGAAAACGATTCGAATACATTTGTACTTTACAAAAAGGTTTAACTTTATCCTTCGATAAAATCTCCATTTGGGCCTACTTACTCTTGAAGGCTTCATAGTTCATATGATGGCCCATTAATCCTGAAGTTAGTTGGATAGGTCCAATGTTGCTATGGGAGAAATATGCAAAAATAGCTACTTTTTGGTAATAATTTGAGACATTTGTGTGTTTTTTTAATCAAGTGTTCGGTATCTGTATTGAGATTTCGATTAATTTGGATAGTACCGCATAAGATCAATTTAAGGGGAAAGCACGGCTTGTCAGGGCTCGAATTTGAAAGCTTTAATTAAATGCGGAGAGATCATATTCATCTCACTACAATCCTCGATTCACAACGACAAAAAAAAGAGGAAATGAAAGGGGAAGTCCATTGACACAATGAATAAAGGCTGCTAAAAGATTAGGTTGATCTCCTACCCCACAAAAATACTGCTAATAATATTTACTAGCTGTTTTCACAACTTTATTTAGTGTTCAAAAAGAATTTTTTTCCTTTTAAATATTATAATAGAAAAAACTTTTAGAAAGTGAGGAAACACTAGTTGGTGGTAGATGATGAAACGAGGTTCAACAAAAGTAAAATTAGATTTTAGGATATGGTAGTGAGTTTCCAAATCTAAAATAGTGTATGTCCTTTCACTTAAATGTACGGCCAAAAGATGTTATAATATTCGGTTTGGATCAAGCTTACACGATTTTCCTCAAAAGGACTTGCATTATTAAGAGATCTTAGATCTTATACGTAGTTTTTCAATCTTTTCAGATATCAATGTGAGACTTTATTCATACACTCAACAATTTGTCCCTCAAAACTAAATTTCATGTGGCCTATCATCACGATTCACTATGTGTCACCCACGTCATCTAAGTATATTATGGCAATTGAATCCCGCAACTAGCTTCTTCTTGTATGTGTGCGTCTCTAAGCTTGTAAGTGGAAGTAAACAGAACATCACACCATCATTTGTGTTTGTCATACGGATCTTGTTGAACCAAGGCTCTGATATCAGTTTTTGCTCTTATCAATCTAAATATACTCTTAACATAGTGTGATATTATCCACTTTAGGTCAAATCTACATGATTGTCTTGAAAAGACGTCATATCATTATGAGATCCCAAACCTTATATTTGTTGCTTCTCAATCTTTTCAACTAGACAAATACCATTACTTTAAGACGATTAATTCAATTGTCATAGTTGAGATTGAAACATAATTATACATGTACAAAGTCATAACTTTGAGTTAGGAATAAGGAAATTAACTTACCGTTCATTTCCATTGATACAATAACAACAATCGACGATCAAATTTGAGATTGACTTCAACACTGTCCTAGAGCTCAACTGGTGAGACATCAACAATTATCATATATTCGAGAACAAAATACCCTAGAATTTTTTTAATACCTAGAGAAAGTATGTTGACCTTTATTCATTAAGAGCGCCTATTCATCACAAGGTAATAGCAAACAAATTTTTAAATAAAACAGTAACAAACTATATTTGACGATAACTTTGGGGAAAAAAAGCTTATACATATTATTATAATAATTATAAGGGTGCAAAAGTTCATACAACTCTTGTACTCTATAAACTTTGAGAATATTTTTTTATAAAAAACATTATCTACTCTTAATACACTATATATTGTTCCTTTTTTTGTTTTATTTTGTGTTAGTGATTGAACCATTTTTTCCACTTGCAACAATTTTAATGATGGGATAGGCCTCTTTTGTCCTTTTGGCATGCGGAAACACATAATAAAGGACGTTACAAAAAAGTAATATGCCATCTATATACAACAAAAATATATTCTTACATCAAAGAATATATATATATATATATATATATATATATATATATATATATATAAGAATTTTACACCATTAATTAATTATATTTTCTTAAGATAGAAGTGGCCTATTATGAAAATGAAAGTAGTTCTCTTTTTATTTTTTTTAAAAATGATGTCACATTGTTCATGAAGATTCTCACATTTTCCCCTCTATCTCAAATGTTTGTAACTAGATTCATTGTATGTGTACTTCAAATAACAACTTAGAATGTATCTTTAATATGAAAAAAAATTATAGTTTTATAATACAATTCATTTAACTTTTTTAATTTTAAATTATAAATCTATAAATTATTTTTACTCTAAGAATTAGCAAAATTTATTCTGAAAAAGCGATAAGTATCAGAATAATAAGTTAGAGAGAAGTATTGAAAACACTCCTGAACTTGATGCAAAGTATCAATTTCGTTCTCGAACTATTAATAGCCTTAAAAACACTCTTCCTACTTGACTAACTAAACTTAGATACAACCCCGATCTACCACATGACATAGCAAGTCATCTCAAACTCTTATACGAACATGAAACTCTTGATAAAAAACCAAGAGAAGTAATGAAAACACCCTTGTATTTCACTCATATTGCCGGATTGGGCATGTATTTAGGTTCAGATAGTCAAGTAAAAAATTGTTTTTAAAGTTATTAATAATTTAATTAAAAATGTATTTTTAAGACTGTTTTCAATACTTCTCTTCAAAAAGTTATGATGAGACTAAATAAAAAATCAAAAGAATTAAAAAGAAAAAGAAAAATCTAATATTATGGATATGTATGAAAGAGAATGGAATCAAATATATAAAAAAAAAAAATACAATATATTTTTTGTTGTTGCTTTACCCACCAATCCTATTATTAATTCACTTGCTTGCTTAATGATTGAGAAAGGAGAAAAATCTTAGTGGTTTTTTCCTGTAGCTTAGATGTGTGGACTTAACTGTTGCACCTCAGCCCAAAACAAGGCCCACTATTTGGGGCCCAATATAAAAATCCATTTTCATTTTTTTTTTATCATTATCATGATAGAGACATATTCCTTGTGGGAAATAGGAATATTATTAAATTAAAGTTGAGTGAACATATGGAAACAGATAGGATCAAACTTCCATCCTAGACTTTCCATGTTTACCTTTAAAGTAAAAAAGACGGATTCATAATTTGAAGTTCGTTTATAAGTTTGAGATATCAGTAAATTTCTCGATTAAAGATAAGATATTTGAGGTGTTCTCTTCTCTCATGCAAGAGTTTATTTAAAAGGGTGAAAAAGCTAAGTATTGCCATACTAGGATCGGAGACTTCATTATGTGTCTAATTCAAATGAAATTGATGCTTTCGCATGCCAATTTTTTATTGATTCTCATGCCAAGTCCAAATTTCACATCATACGCAAAAATTAGACTCTTCTTTGTTACAATTTTTCTTTATTTTTTCAAGTATCTATTTGGATGATTAACTTTTACTGTATTCAATTTTGTAACAATCATATTAAAATACTCTATCATTCAAATTATAGCTACACTATCATATCACCTAAAATATAAATACAAGTAATCATTCATAACGATTAAGCATAATAATAATAAAATAATATATTAGTTATGCAAAAACTATATACTATAAGTTAAATTCAATTAAGAAATGAACTCTCATGCAATAAAAGAAGATATTTCATAAAGAAAAGCAAACTTTTTTTTAAAATAGAAAACGAAAAAGGGTCAAAATTGCCCTTGAACTATGTGAAATAGACCACTTATATCCTTCGTTACATTTTGGGATCAAAAATGCCCCTGCCGTTATCCTAAGAAACCACAAATACCCTCAAGAGTTAACCCCCCAAATTTTTATTAGCCACGTGGGACTAATCCTTCCACCTAAGCATTGCCAACTAGGATTCACTACAAAAGAACTAGACCTTTAGCGGCGACAACAGTCGCCACAAAAGCCTAGAAAATCGTCACTAAAGGGTTTTTAACATTAAATTCTAATTTTGTGTTTTTTTCTTCATTGTTTTTAAAAAACCAAAAATGATATTGATTAAGGAGGAGTTTGAAGACACTGTATGTTTTTTTTTATGTTATATGTAAATGTATAAAATGTTCACTGATGCATTATATAGTAGGAGATTTAAATCGAGAAGTAAATTTGATGATTTTCATAATAATATTGGATGTTTTTAATATTGATAGTGCAAGTTATTTATTTTAAAAAATTAAGTTGCAATCGAAAATTAATTATCATATTTATTTTGTTGAAAAAAATAGGTTTTACTAGCGAATGGTTGTTGGAGCCTTAGTTGCCACTAAAAATCACTCATAACCTTTAGTGGCAATATTTTGGGATTTTGTGGCGACAAAGGTCAAGTTCTTTTGTAGTGAATCATAGTTGGCAACGCTTAGGTGGAGGGATTAGTCCCATGTGGCTTGCCACATCAGTAAAAATTTGGGGTGTTAACTCTTGAGGGTATTTGTGATCTTCTGGATTACGGAAGGGGTATTTTTGATCCCAAGATGTAATGGAGGGTATAAGTGGTCTATTTCGCATAGTTTAGGGGCAATTTTGATCCTTTTCCGAATAGAAAATGGAAAAATGTTATATTCCCCTTAATTAAAGGTCTCTTGTTCGAGTATTAGATATGAAGAAAATGTTATTGGAAGCACCATCTTCGAATGGACCTCGCAGTGCATGATTCGAATTTAATCGAAATTTCAATGCAGGCTCTGGACACCTGGATGAGAAATTAAAAAAATATATATATTGTTTATTCCCTCTTAAAAATTTATGACATAATTTCCTCTTTAAAATTGTTTGATTCCCCATTAACAATTTATTCCATTTTTACAAACTAATTATAAATACACATATACACCATTTCTTCATTTCTCAAACTAAGAAGAAAAGAAAAACAAAAATAGTACCAAAAAAAAAAAAAAGGAAAAAAAAAGAAAGATGAGAACTGTGAGTACCTTTATTACTACTCCGTCAACAATGGCAGCAATAGAACCAACGGTAAAAACAACATTTTCGCCGGCGGAGAGTTTTCAGAGATCGCCGTGGCATTCACCGGCGGCGTACCTATTCATCGGTGTCGCCGCGATGCTAGGGTTAATAGCTTTTGCACTTGTAATTTTAGCTTGTTCTTACTTGAAACGCTCCGGCGAGACTGGAGATGGTAGCGATGATCTGGAATCCGGCGCCGGTGAGAAATCTGCCGGAGATTTATGTAAGGTTGTGCCGATTTATGAAGAGAAAATTGTAGTGATAATGGCTGGAGATTTGAATCCAACTTTTTTAGCTACGCCAATTTCGAGCAAAAGCTCTTCGTTTGGAGATGAAAATGGAAGTAAAATCGAGAAGAAATTGGAGATGGAGAATGAAGAATTAGCTGATGAGAAGCTGAAAGATCAAGTAATTATGGACCAAAATCATGAACAAAGCCACTGAGCTCAAAAGGGCCTTCATATTCGCATGAAAGCTCGATTAATTGAGATTTGTATCTACACAAATGCATTCGGAAAATGCTTCCTAATTAACGAAGAAGCAACCTTTCTGCTGCACCAAATCCTTTGACGGTTTTTTTTTTTTTTTATATTTAAAAATCCTACTTTTAGTTTGGATTTTCAATTTTGACATTTGGGAGACTGTATTTTTGTTTGACATATACAAAGACTGGAACAAAGAGTTTAAATTTTGTACATTGTTATGATATTTTTTCGTCATATTAGTAAGTTATTGACAATAAGTAATGACTTTTAAATCAAAACATAAAAAGTAGGAGTGTTCAGAAATTAAAAACTGACTTAAAAGTAGGTTTGATCAATTTTTAAGTCAATTCAAAAACCTTCTAAATCTCCTTAAATATGTGGAATTTAAAACATTAGTAAAAATAAGATATGTGCTATAATGAGTAAAGATGGTTTGATTGTAGTAAAAATTATTTATATTGATGGTATATATTATATAAGCATTGTGAGGATTCTTTCATCTTTAATTAGATTTTTTAAATGCAAAATCATTTTTGTTAGAGCACATTTTGCTTTTCAATGTCAATTCAAATTTAATCAAGCAGCATTGCAGATTCGAACACCAAGTAGAATATAATTTTTTTTTTACTGATAATGTAGTCCTACCATTTGTCATTTCTGTTCTGAAATGGACAATTTTCTTTCGTTTCTCCCAGCATTTGATATTCATTTTAGACTCCCGACTAATATATATTCATGTTGTATAAGAGTCATTAAAAGGGAAAGCGCTTCCCTTTCCCAAACTATTAGAGTTGTTTTCAATTCTCTAAGTTCAAATCAAAGATTTTTAATCAAGAATAAAGAAATTATATTCATTTCATCATAAGAATAATTGAAACAAATAGTTTAAGCCTTTTGATATTTTACGTCGTCATCCAACTAAAAGAAAGTGGCTAAAATATTTAAAAATATTATCTATTCGAATTCTTCCACTTACAAAACAAAATATTATTATGTGAGAACTTCTTTAATCCATTTTGATAGTAGAATCGATAATTTGAAAGGACGACGCAAAGCAAAAAGTAAATCTTTTTTTTTTAATAATTATCTGATATTCGATATTCACTAATTTAATTAATTTAAATTCATATAAAATAAAACCTATTAAAAAACACTCTCTATCCCGAACTAATTTTATTTTTTAAATTCAAACTTAAAATCTCTAAAAAAAATTTAATAATTTTATCTGTCTCATCTCACCATTAATAATAATATAAAACAAATTTCATAGCAACAAAAGTAAGTGCTATTTTATTTTAGAACTTTCTTAATTAGATGTGGCGAACCATGAAGGGCTCCATATAGATTATCAAATATTCTCTAACCAATATACATTATATTAAAAAAACATATCACTCCCCACCAAACAAATATATGAAGTTAGTGACGTAAAAAGGTATAATTTGTTCACTATGAAAATAAAAGTAGCTCAACTTTATCTTTTTAAAATAAAACTATTTACAATTATGTAATATAAAATTAAAAGAAGTTCTCATAAAAAAATTGCAAGTATTCTTACACTGTACAGCTGCCGCATTTGGCGTTTACACTTTACACTAATTTAACAAATATGTAACACTTATTTTTTTCACATAATTATTACTATAAAATTATATAATTCGATATAAATATTAGGTGCAAATAATTTTTTATCAAGACAGAACCATTTGGGCTAGCAGAATTACGTGCTCTCTGTATTTAATTTTACGTGATATGCTATGATTTGACATAAAATTTAACAGAGAAAAAAAAGTTTTAATAACTTACTATTTTTCAACACTAATTATCAATATTTAATTATTAACATCATCTCTAAGCTTAGTTGATAAGTATGAGATAATGATACTTTAGTTCATAAAGAATTATAATGATACGATCACTTTACTCCACTAATGATATTTTTAATTCTCTTTTTTGCTCAATGATTATTGCTGCTTTACTCATAAGCTTGAGTGTTTTTTCCACTTAGTATCGATAGCAATAATTCAAATGAAAGATTTGTTTATTTTACCATTAAAGCAACGTCGTTGATGAGATGGATGCGATTTCTTCATTTTCTATTAGAGATTTTGAGTTTAAAATTCTAAAAATAGATAAACTCATAAGTAATAAGAAGTGTTTTTTTTTAAAATTTCAATAAGCTCGAGATCTAAACGAGTCACACATATATTCTAGTATATGTTTCGCGAGATAGAGAGAGCTAAGGATATCATGGCATTTCTAACTAACTGTCTCGTTCACTATGCGATACGAAGTCAGATTAATCAAATCACCAAACATCAACATATGAAATGATTATTATTAGTATAAAAAAGTACAAAAATCTCATACATTTAGGGGCTAATTACATCCTATTTCAAAAACTTCCTTAATTACAAAAATCCTATTTTTTTAATTATTCTCGGATACATTCCGTGTTTGTCTGATGCATTGCAAATGATACATTACTTAATTAGAGGGATGTATCTGAGTGTGAGTTTTTGTAATTTTTTAAATGACAAGAAATTTTAGAGATTATGATATATCTTATTACCTCCGTCCACTTTTAATTGTCATAATTTCCTTTTTTAGAGTCAAACGATAATAATTTTGACTAACATTTTACGATATATTTTTTCATCATATTGATATGCAAAAAATTGGAATTTATAGTACTTTTCGAATAGTTTTTGAATATCAAATTTTTTTGTTTAAAATATCGAATTAGTATAATCTAATTTAACTTTGAAAATTAGTCAAATTAACTTTCGAAAATAACAGCATGACAATTAAAAGTAGATAGAGCGAGTATTTATGTAATTTTTATCTTTACTAAAAAAGATAAAAGGTCCTTTCATATTTTTTTTTCTCATTAAATTTTATGATTCCCCATTGATCACTTCACCCTTCTTTTTAACTTCCTTTTTTCTCTCTTCCCTATTCCTCCACTAAAATTGTTTCATATAAATACACACATCTACCATCTTTGCACTTCTCAAGCCAAGCAAGTTTTATTTTTCTTATTTTCTTTCTTCAAAAAGCTTAATATTCGTTTTGCTCGCAACAATCCAATAAGTTCTTCGATCGAAAAAAAAAACATTAGACATTTCATCTTCGAAAATAAAATAAATAAAAATGCGAACAGTAAGTACCTTTACTACTGCTTCTCCATCAATCTCCCCATCGGCGATCGTTCAGAAATCGCCATGGCATTCACCGGCGCCGTATCTCTTCGCCGGCGTAGCATCTATGTTAGTATTAATAACTTTTGCTTTAGTAATCTTAGCTTGTTCTTACTGGAGACGATCCGGCTATCCGAGAGAAAACGGCGATGCAGAATCCGGCACCGGCGAGAAATCGGCCGGTAATGTTTTCAAGGCGTCGCCGGTTTTTGAGGAGAAAATTGTAGTGATAATGGCTGGAGATTTGAATCCAACTTTTTTGGCTACGCCTATTTCAAGCAGAGGTAATTCGTTTGGTGCTGGTGATAAAATTGACAAGAAATTTGAAAAGGAAAGTGGAGAATTTGATGATGAAAAGTCGAAAGATGAAGTAATTGCAATGGAAGTTATGGATCAAGCTCATGAAGAATCTCAAATCGGCCATTGATGAAGTCACTGAGCTTTGGAAAAAAAAAAACAGAGCAATTTTCTCCATTTTTTTTTTTGGAATTCTTCCATTTTGGTTTAATTTTTCAATTTTGAGATTCGGGAAATTGTACTCAATTTTGGTTGAGATAACAAAGAGTTAGAAAAAAATTCATTTTCGAGTAATATGCTTCCTTAGAATTGTTATTCCTACTTGATACACCTATCAAGAAATCATCAATAATTATTAGAAGTCATTTCGCTAAAAAATAAATAGTACTCAATAATAAAAGTTAAATAGGTATTAAAATGATAAATTGTTTCTTAATTTTTAAATGGAAAAAAGTAAAATTGACCATATATTTTTAATATAATGAATAGAGAGAGTAGAATTTATGATATATTGATATAGAGAATGAATTATTTGAAGAGTTTTGAAAGTATGTGCATATATGGTGTTTGCGGTTATCAATTGCGATTTTATATCTCGTGTGATTTACAAGTTGTGTTTGATAAACTGTGATGGTTAAATGTGATCTATAAATTGTACTTATTCATGCGATTTATAGGTCGTACTTGTCAAATGTGATATATGAGTCGTATTTTTCGAACATGATATCTTAATTGAGCTATTATTCGAATGTGATTTATAAATTATGTTTATCTAATGTTATTTATAAGTGATACCGATCAAATGTAATTTAAGTCATGTTTGTGAAATGTGATTTATAAGTCGCGCTTGCCAAATCATTTGACGTACCAACTAAAGTTACTCAATTCTATTGTAATTAAATTAGTTACCAAATAATATCAAAGCCGTTTAGCAAACAATAATATAATTCATTTTAATCTTCTATCATAGAGATGATAGAAGAATAAAGTGGTTAAGAGAAGTGATTATGAGTATATATGCTTCAATGTGAATTTTAATCGCGTTAGGTTCAATAGAGAAAAAATAAAATGTAATGTTATTCGTTTTTTTTTTACACAAATACCATTATCGTTAGCTAGGTGAAACAAATATACCTTTCTCCGCTAACGAATTTCACTTAACAAAAATGCAATTTTCCCCTCTATTTTGGGTTCTTTGTCTCGTTTATTTTTTTTCACAATAGAGGAGAAAAAATAATTTTGAATTTTAGAAAAATAATTACAAAACTATAGTATTTCTATAATAATATTTTCTTCAATTTCTTCTTCCAATTCCTTCTCAAAGTAAAAGCATAAAAATACTTCCATCTTCCCCAATTTTCCTCCGGCGAAATTGAAACTCCGACCGCCGTCGATCCTCCGTTGACTCTGTTTCTACGGTGAAGATGAACCAAAGTCAAGGTCAGCAAACAAGTGAAGGAAGACACGAGGATGATGCTGTTCTAGCCGATTTCCTTGCTTCCTTAATGGACTATACTCCCACTGTGAGCTGCTTTTTGCCCTTTTTCTTATAGGCGAGATCAATTTTATGTTGTATTTATGAAGGTTAACGCTTTTGATCAGATTCCTGATGAATTAGTGGAGCATTACTTGGGTAAAAGTGGATTTCAATGTCCTGACGTTCGATTGTATGTACCTTGTTCCCATTCTTGTGTTGATGTTTCTGCAATTTAGCCTGCTTAGATTAGTTATAGAAAAATTGTTTCGATTGCTCAAAAGGAAGATAATGATTTTCGTGTGTTTATCTAGAACTATTTTCACTAGGTTTATCCTCTGTGGCTGTCTTGAGCCAACCATAGTCTTTGAAACTCGAATATGATGGACGCGCTCCTCAATCCTTCTCCACTTAAATACTAGGTTTAGTTTGCTTGGTGTAGCGAAAGCTCTACACTTTTGCCAAGTGAGCTGAGCCCTAGGGGGGGTGGGGGGTGGGGGGTCAAAGGGAGATATTATGTTACTGCAGCAAACAAATAAATTGGGCAAAGGTGCCTATATAATGATTTACAATCCAGCTTGGGAGGAAGTCCTCCCAAGATATTTCCTTCAACGAAGTGGTAGAAAACTTAGCTAAATTATGTGCTAGTTTTGTTTAGACTTCTAGGAATATGAACAAAGTCTACATGATCAAGCAAAGTTTATAGCTTCCAAATGTCTTCACAAGTCACTTCTATCTCCCATGAGGTAGTAAACTTTTTTCTGAATCATATCAATAACACTCTTTGCTTCCAATAGAATTTTCACATCCTTCCAATTGTTCCTGATTGTACGTTCAAGAGCCATTCTTATAGCAAGTGCTTCAACAGTCATAGCTTTTCCCACAAACTGGATTGAGGAAACATGGGCATGAATCAGTTTCCCAAGGGTTTCCAAAGCTGCAACACCAATACTTGCCAGTCCAGTATCCACCTGTAAACCTGCGTCAGTAAACAATAATATACCATCTTGGTGGGTTGTTAGTGGAGCCGCAAGGCAATACCCATTTTTAGGACAATTAGATGAGCAAGTAGCTGAATATCTTTATGATGAGCAAGTAGCTGAATATCTTTATACTCATAGCAATCAAACAGTGACTAAGCGACATTATTCTCTGCTTTAAGTTCCGTTTTAGTTTTGATCGTTTTTTATTTTTCTGGTTTAGCTGTAAATTCAAATAAAATTTATGTATATGTGAATTGGATTGGTATTTACCTTTTTACTAGTTGTAAATTTTAATATTGTAGCATTTGATGTTTCTTTTGACAGTGATGGCTAGTTTATCTTAAGTTATCAGTTTTTAACACCGTATTGTTATATTGAGTTTATCCTTTGGATGTGCAGAATAAGGTTGGTGGCAGTTGCTACACAGAAGTTTATTGCAGATGTTGCCACTGATGCTCTCCAGTATGTTTCTTAATTATTTTATCTTTCTTGAATTTTGTTTCAGCCTCCATCTTATGTTAAGTATGCTGCTAATTCTTCGGCATATTGCTCATTGATTGTCCCCTACTCTTGAGGCTTCAATGCAATTGTTGTGTTGTGCCTGTCTAGGTGTTTGTCATTGTATGATACTTCCAATTGTTAAGTGTTCAAGTTGCCCCCCTCCCCCAAACCTCAAAAAAAAAAAAAAAAAAACTCTTTTGGGTTTGTCTCTAATGAATTAGAAACATTAAGTTGGTAATTTTAGAATCCAGGCCTGTTTTATTTTCAAAGACTGCCGATCCTAACTAGACTACACTACCAAAAATACAACACCTGAAATTCTCTATTGTTAGTGCAATAATACTACTACCTCAGGAGATTACTGTCTGTGACACCCCCAAAACCTTAGAAAAGAGACAAAGAAACAGAAAAATACAATATAAAGACACTAAGATACGGCTTAAGTAAACATGTAGAAAGACCTTGTTTCAGAATATATGATTAAAAATAACAAAGCATCCAACTTTCTCTGAACTTTCTTTTCCTAATGTTTCTGATGGAATGTAGTAGATCTTCTCAACTGTGACAAATCAGTTGTGTTTTGTTTCGTTATAGACTCAAGATTTCGTGAATGCCTCACTTTACTCACTATTTTGCCTTGAATAGTTGTAATGAAAGAAAAACTCATGAAATGCTGTGAGTCTTTTGAGGATAGAGTATGGCTTTTTCGTTGGAAGAAAGAATAAGAGTTTGTGACTGGTCTCTTATGTATCCTTCATGTTTCGAAAGAAATGGATATTTATGAAAAGGAGCCATTCCAACAGCGAAACAACATAATGCCAGTGGTTGAAGGCAGGAAGGTCAATAGAAGTTGAGGATATATCAGGAGCAAGGGGTTTCCCCATTGGTATTCTGTGTAGAGACTAGAAAATATGGTTGAGACAACAAGATGACAGTGGTTGAAGGAAGGAAAGTTGATGAGTTGTGGGTAGACCAGGATAAAGAGACCCTCATTTTTTGTGTTGAGACAAGAAATATAGTTGAATTTTGAAATTCTTGTTTTATGTTTCTTGGAAACCGAGCTTCTATCAGATTAATTTTCTTATTTTTCATGGTAATGCAGACATTGCAAGGCAAGGCAGTCAACTATTGTCAAGGACAAAAGAGATAAGCAGCAAAAGGTGCGTCACCTATTTCTCTGTTCATTTTCTTATGTTTATTGGTTCTAACTCTGTTTTAGCAGGACAAACGCCTTACCTTGACAATGGATGATCTTTCAAAATCTCTACGAGAGGTAATCACTCTTTGCTGGCCTATCAAAAAATAATAAAAAGTTATTCATCATTGTAATTTCATCTTATTTATTCTGTAAGCAGTCTCCCATAGTTCTTTGTTGAAGTGGTATACTTGTTTTTACTTTTTTTTCTTTCTAAATGTGTTTTCCTAGTTAAATAGTTTACAGTAAGTATATTAGAGATAGTGACAAGACGATCAAGAAATAAGGATGGAGTCTATGCATAAGCGCTTTTAGCAGAATTTGCTGGTTGATCACGGCTTGATGTGGCATTTTCCTATGTGAACTTGAAAAGTGATTCATATTGTAGCACCCATGGGTGTGACCTAGTGGTCAATGAAGTGGGAGAACCAATGAGGTTTCTGGTTCAAATTCCCGCGGAGACAAGAGAGAACTAGGTGATTTTTCCCATCTATTTAAGCCTTGTTGGGTATATTTACCCGGTACCTATGCTGGTGGGTGGTAGCAAGTACATGTAGGATAGTCGAGATGCACACAAGTGGATCTGGACATGCTGATATAAAAGAAGTGATTCACATTGTTTGAAACAATGGTAAAGTTGTCTCCATGTGACCTATTGGTCACACGCTCAAGCCATGGAAGCAACTACTAATGCTTGCATTAGGTTAGATTGTCTACATCACACCCTCTTGGGATCAACCCTTCCCCAAACCCTGCTAACGCGAGATGCTTTGTGCACCAGGCTTCCTTTGTTGACATAAAGTTCTTGGTCTATAGATCCTTCTTTAAATTTTAATTTTTGTTAAGGTAATGATTTAATCGATGCAATCGGGCATAATACCATGGGTGTATAAAAAGTAACCTCACATTTAAAAATGTGATTCTCTACAAAGAGCTACTAAATCATCTATACCAACTGGGACCGGACCTTATGTATGCTCCAAAATTATTTAGAAGCAAAATACATGCTCTCATGGGTAGTAAGCTGTTCTCCATCCCTGTAGAACCTCTCTTGTTTCCTCCTCTCCAAAGGTTGTCCTTGTGATGTCAATATTTTTATCACTTCTGCGATATTCTTTGCATTTTAGTGTTTCAACTTTGCTTACTTTAGTTCCCCGTAACCTTTGATTTGCATTGCAGTATGGTGTAAACGTCAAACATCAAGATTACTTTGCTGATAGCCCGTCTGCCGGGTTAGATCCTGCTTCAAGAGAGGAATGATGTAATGCCTGCTAACAAATCTCTGTGATCACATAAATCTGATGGTTGTGAGGTCGTTGCATTGTCATCCTCTTGATTTCTCAAAAGCTATATATGTATTGGAGGATACAACTCTTGACTACTATGTATCTCTATATATCTGATTCACTCAACTTACCAATGTTAACTGTAGTTGCCACCATTGATAGATTGCTTGTTTCGAGATTCCTTTCGTGGTAGCAACGGGGGTGATGTCGATAACTGGTTTGAATGTTTAAATTTGCTTTGAACTTGTTGATGAATGTACTTTATTTTGTCTAATTGGGTTGTCTCACTTCTTCTTTAATGTAGACCAGACATGTTTGGTTGCATCTTATTTCTGATGGAATACACTATTGTGGTAGCTGAAACATGACGTCTACACGAACAGCTCTAGCTGAATATTTTATGTATCGTGAATTACACTTTAATAAACGATCCTTCCAAACAAGCGCGTAAACTTATTGCTACATGTCTCTTTTATTTGCGGTCATCCAGGAGATGTTTTTTATTTGCATCAAAATGAAGATCATTCACCAAAGTTAACTATCAATATATCCATCATTATTGAACAAAATGCAATATTCACACTATGAACAAAATAGGAAGTTAATATTTACTCTTTTTGCAAATTTCTGAAGGATCTAAAGCAGTTGCAGTCTACAAAAGATAACAATAAAATCCATTTGAAACGTTATGTTTACAAAAGTTAAATTGTCTAAAGACTATCTATGAAGCCTTCACTCTATCACGGGCAAGCATCACACTTACAATCGTTTGCACCACAACTAAACGAAGAGATTTAACCTTTCCCTTCTCATGTCGTGGGCGCTAGTCCACCATGAACACAAGAACTTGATAAGTAATTGCTAGTTTTCAGGTGAACGAAAGATACGCTCCACTCTTTCCAGTTGATCCTTATTATTCCTAGAACATGCAAAAAAAAAAAACACCAGTAAGAATGATCTAATTACTGGAGCAACGGGAAGCAACCATCGTAGTTGGGGGGAGCCATTGAAGGATGGGGCAGGGAGGGGAAAAGGGGGAATACAGGGATCCTTTTCCAGGTGCAAGCCAGATCAAGTGTTGTTCCTGCACCTAATTCTAATTAAGATATCTTCAAGGAAAATAATTCATGTCCAATAGACCATTATGTGGGGGTGGTGATGGTGGTGGAGGATTCCAGTTGAAGTACTTACCTAATTGTCATAGAAGCGGGAATGTCGTCTTCGAGAACTGTGCCACAAAGGAAGCATGAAGAAAATAAAAAGTTGTGAATCAGACTGAACATTAACAACAGAGACACTATCGACAATAACATATGTAGTGTAATCCCACAAGTGGGGTTAGAGAAGGGTGGTGTGTATGCAGCCCTACCCCTACCTTGTGAAGGTAGAAAGATTGTTTTTGATAAACTCCCGGCTCAAGTAAAGCATAATAAAATCAAGAATGAAAAGGACGATATAATAATGAAGCAATCACGTTGAACATAATGGAGAAGAGAAACAGTAGCAACAACACATAATATGGGCAACCGAAGCAAGGGAAACAAAATGTAACAAGGTAGTATGCGACTAATAACAAACACTACTGATAGGGGAGACTAGACAACGCTCAACTACCTACTAAACTTTTACCCTAGTCTTCGACCTCCATATCTTCCTAACTAGGATCATGTCCTCGGTAAGCTCTGCAAGTGTCCCATGTCCTGTCTAACACCTCTTCCCCAAATTGGTGAACTACTGTTAGATTAGTAACTGGTTCAGTATTGGAAGGTTAACAGTGTATCATCCTACTGTTAGTCGGATATATTAAAAACAGACTACCATAACAAATGACGGACAGTCAACTGTTTCCGTTGAACACGATTTATGAGGTAAGAGAAGGTTAGCACTTGACTGAAAAACTCAGAAAAGTTTATAAGAATCATAGAAAGAATATCTAATGCATCAAAATGTGTGAATAATCTGCTCAGAAAACATATAACGTGGGGGGTGCAGTTAGTTTGACCCTCTCTTCACAAGAAGCAACACAAGGGCCTGGGGAATCACAACTACAGAAGGGAATAGGGAGCCGTTGATCTAGAGCATGCCGCAATAAAAGCTTGATTTAAGGTGGCAGTCCAACAAGAGAATAGAGATCTACAATAATGGATTCTCACATTTTGCAGTGGCTAAAACATCCTCAAATCAAGATGAGCGTAAAAAAAATGTAGTGCATATGAAAATGAAGGCCATCTGCCTAGAAGTTACTGACCTGCGACTATCAGCTCTTCTCCTTGGGAGGCCAGCAATCCTTACAAAACCATCCTCAAGCTCCTCAGCCCCATAGTCTACATATTCTACAGATGTCACAGAACTCTCATCAGAGTTTGAAGCATCATAACCCAAATGGCGGTTTCCTCTTCTTGCATTACTAACTCTAGATCTTCTTCTGTTTCTAGATGTCCTAAAGTTATTAAATACTTGATACAAGATACATGATCTCCACCAGTTTCCTTCTGCTGAAGGGAAATTCTCAAATTCATCATCAGAATTATCATGTCCATATTCAATCACATAATCACCTAAAACAACACCTCGGGGAACTTCTGCATGTATAGTACTCAAGACGTCTATTATTTCAGAGGACTGCTGAAAGTTATCCCAATCAATCTGTCGAGCAGGATCTATTTTTGAGGGGCGTGCATGAGGGTGGTCAACTTTAGCATGTTTCTGAAGTTCCACATAGGTACCTTTAAATCTACATTTATCCTCTTCACAACAGCGTTCCTTGACATCGAGATGTACGCGAGCCTTCTCAACAACAACCCATCCAGTAACTTCTCCCCTACACAAGGGGCAGGCAGACCAGCTGTTCGCCTCCGATTTTATCACATCTTCTCTCTCATTGGATATCGAAAGTGATGGTGAACGAGCTATCACCCGATGTGCTTGTTTGAAACGTTCTAGACAGTTGGAATGCAAATGATCCGTGTCACACAAAAAAGGCCTGCAACCCTTGTCATAAGATGAGCACTGGAGGAGAACGCCATTGTGAGGGAAGTCCAAGCAAATGGGACAGAACACATCATCCCAATTGGTATACAGCTCCACCTCCTCCATAGAAATCTTTTTCATAACTCCTTTCAGTCTGAAGTTTCAATGATGGGAGAGATTAAAGACCAGCTTCCTGTCAGCATGCAGCATCTCCCTTCCTCTGATCAGGATCAAATAATATCGAGATGACTAACTGTGAAATTATGCAAACAAAAGCAACAGTATAATATGAGTACACAAACATTTCACTAAAACAAGCCTGAACTCACGGGGCAGAAGAGAAAAAATGTCTCAGAACCATTAAGCAAAAAACAAAAAGAAAGATAGAAACTAAAAGAAGAGTAAGCTAATCAGTGAAAGCTATTAAACTCTGGAGGCAGACAATTGATTCATCATGAATTGCAACTTATCAAAAAAAAGAGAATTAAAATGTAATTGAGTAAAGGTAAAGAGATCCTTGACTTCTCTATACCAAAATGTCATCTCCTCAATACATTGTGCCATTTTCACCTCATAATACTCACCATCAATTTATCTTTTTCAATCACAAGCAACTAAAATAAAAGTATGGAAAAACTTCCTCAAGAAGATGCAAATATTGATTCTTTATAAGAAGATTCGATATTAAAAATAATTGTACATCAAAATACCAAATGATCAACTATTGAACTCAAATGCGGACAAATCAGATACTTGTGCTCATTATTCCAGGAGAATGACATGACTTGTAGGCAGCAAGAGGGGCTATTGTCACAACTGAAAATCTGAGAAAGAGAAGGGATAAGATGCGTGAATGCGTCACATGTGCGGGAAAGATTTAAAGCACCTCTTGTTGCCTTGCCAGGTCGCTACCTAGTTGTGGGAAACTTTTTTGAACATGTTACGCGTACGTTTGATGATGCCAGCTACAGTCAAGGATGTAATACTCAATCTCAATTGGAACTTCAAGCGCGGAAAAGATGCAGAGCTTGAGATATTGCCCCTTGGGCAATTACAGTTCAGCGAGACGGTGGTTGGAGAGAAAAGATTTTTCTGGCCATGGATGTTAACTTGGAAAACCAGTGCTCCATATAAAGTGGCATATTTTACCTGTTTCGTTGCTCAAGAAGCAAGTTTAACACATGACATTCAAAGGGGACGATTCTTAATATGGTGGAACTTAACTGGAGCACGGGACATATAAGTGAGCTTTCAAATTATTCGAAAAACAAAAAGGAACGAATCCCAAACTATCCCAACATGCATTTGGTGGACTATTTAGAGAGAAAGAAACTCCAAATATTTTGTAGACAAAGGAAATTCAATACAGAAGATCAAAATGAATTGCTTGCTTTTGTTTAATTTTGGTGTAAACAGAGCTATGTAAATGATACTGAACCAGTGATAAATCTCATAGATTCCCTTTAAAATAGAAGGAATATAGTTCTGGTTTTTTTTAAAATACTTTTGACAGCCGCTTCTTGGTGCTGCATTAATTATACTAAAGAAAAGGAATAGGAGAACTTTTGAGAAGATAGAAAATACATTTATATCGAGGCAATCTTTTATTTTTTGTATATCTTTGGTGCAGCCATGAGATCTCAATTAGTATAGATGAATGGATGTACCTCATAGATAATCATATTCTTTTAGATTCTCTATACCTCTTATACGAGGACTTCCCACTCTATACACTCTCCAGCTTGCACACACCTCGACTACAGGCACTTGCAACCTCCCACCAACCCAAGTACCGGATAACCCTATCAACCAAGGCTTGGACATATAGAAAGAAATCACATGGCGTTTTTGCCTCTGCTAGGAATTAAACCTAACTTCCTCTCTATCTTTCAATCTCTACAACAACAACAATAATACCTAGTGTCATCCCACAAGTGATGTCTGGGGAGCGTAGCGTATACCCCGACCTTAACTCCCTACTTTGGGAGGTAGAGACATTTTCAATAGACCCTCAGCTCAACGAAAAGCATATCAAAACAGATCAGAAAGGAAATAAAAAAGTGAAGGGATCATAACAAAATACGATAGAAAGCATGACAAAGCATTCCGAAAAAAGGAACAGTAACTACACCATAAAAGTGCAATAATCCAAGTACAAGAGACTATCTTTCAATTTCTAACTTCCTCTCTTTCTCTTCTACATCTCTACTTAACTATCAGATTAATAATAAACTTCAATATAAGGAGTGCCCATTTCTCACTGCATCATTTCACCAATTCACAAAGGAACAAAAGAGGCCACCAAATAGAAAAATCAAAACCAGATAAAGGGTATGCCCCAAATACCAAAATTTCAACATCAAGTGCTGTAAACAGATAAATCAATCTTTAACATAAAAAACCCCCAAAAGATCAATTTTGACCAAGAAAGATTCAATTTTTTTGGAAAAAAAGTCAACCCAATACAGAAAATGAAAACAGTAATGGATCATTCAAACTAATCTAAAATACCCATAGAGAAAAAGAACAATTTTTTTCAAGGGGGTGGATCAAACCTGAGTAATTTGTAAGAAATCAAGAACAGCCAAAAGAAGATTGAAGGGTAAAGAGCAAAAAAAATATAGAATAATGTATTTATATGTTGATTATGTTGAAAAAAGAAAAGTGAAATGGAAAAGTCAAGTAAAATAAAATAGCTAGGTTAAGTGTTTCTATTTCTTTTAATTTGAGATGTAAATATAAATAACGGTATTTCGAAAACGGTTTTTTTATCCGTAATAAAATAGTTGTTACCAACAAAGATTGTTGGAGTGATAAGTAGTTTTTCGTCCTTATCAAGTAAGAGTGTCTCTGGACCTTTTGTTATAGAGCACCTTACGCCTTTATTCCTAATTAGTCGAATTCAATGTGAATATCAAACACTAAATAATTTTTTTTTAAGAAATTAAAATATACATTCATGTTATTTATAATTTAAGTGATTAGGTGAACAGTCATTTAGATTAATTTATTTTTTTAAAAAATATATATTTCTTTTCACACCTCCATTTTGATCTAATCTTTTTGGAAGAATATTAGAATATACTAAGTCATTTTTTTGATTTGACATAACTTGTCATGTTTTGATATTAATAATAAAATTGTCTATTGTCAAGAAAAGCTAGAAAAATTGGGCTACCATGTTAATTAGTCACACTTATTTAAGCAAAGTCAAAACTTGTTTAGGCTTATTCCACATAATTAGAAAAATGTCACCTATTTGTTGGGGAAATTCATAAAAAGAAGAATAATTTCTTTTTGTTTTGCCACTAATTAAGTGTGTACTAGAGTCTTCGAATCCTCTGGTACAGAATCACCTTTGTTAGGATTTATCCCCTAATATGAAACTTTTCAGTATGAATCTGAATTTAGTTGAACTTGTGGATATCAAACATAGTGTGGAGGATTAAAAAAAAAGTGTATACTAGAGTCCTACTCTTAGACTAATAGCAACTTTAAGGATAATAATAAAATTCAGAATCATTTTATAGATGCTATAAAGTAAGGCTATTATAAAAGAGATGGTCAACATGTAGTAAAGCTAGAGAGGGGGTAGGTGTGTGACATATGACTTGTTATAACATGAATTTTCCTTATTCGAGCTTCGAGACCTATAATTAAAGGTATACTAAGGCACTTGAGAGAATCAGGTCGAAGGAATTCAAACAAGACCTATAATTAAGGGTATACTAAGGCACTTGAGAGAATCAAGTCGAAGGAATTCAAACAAAATAGACTCATGTACCTTCTAGAACTAGGGGTATTCGAGTTTCTGCATATAGCCAACGTTGTGGCAGCAAAAAGATTAGACATGCCCTGTAACACGATATCAAACTGGGAACGCGATTCTCCTGGTGAATTGACCGTAACAGGACTAGAAATAGATATAAAAGTCACTTCCAAACAATCAATATGACAATACAAACCAAAAAGTTGAGAAGTATGAGGAATTACACAAGTTGGAATAACAGAAACACCAAACAATCTCTTACAAGAAGGCTAATAATACTATCGAAAGGGACTAATATGGTATATTCTTAGGGAGGTTACGAATGACGTTGCTTTTCATGCCAATCTTACTGCGCATAATCTCCACACCAGACTTGTTCATGGCTCTCAACACCTTCAACTTAACCATTTGCTCTCTTGACTGCACAGTTGCAAGACCCATGCTTCGGTACCTGGAAGGAAAGGGTGTTTTGCTCAAATAACAGTTTTGAGGTGTGATGAAATGGACACTTTTGAACAAATCAAATACATACCTTGCGGCTAATGCAGCACTTATAGCCACATCATTGGTCCGTGTAGGCCTCAGTTTTTGTCGGTAGTATCGCAAAAACTCTCTTGATCCAAGAGTCCTAACAGATCTCCCATCATTATTTCTTCTTGTTATTATGAGCTCAGATCCACCACTTCCAAGTTCCACACTGTTGCCTGTGTCATCTGATGAAATGAGCTGTTTCCCAGTTTCATCAACAAAGCTACAACCGAAGAGACGTTTCAGAAGCAATAACAGAAGGTAGAGACTACAGAGCTTAACTATACACATCCTACCTAAATTGTTTTTTTCTTGAAAAGAATATAGAGCTTACTACACTCATCCTACCCAAATTACATCGAAAGCAATCATGTTAGAAATTATACCTGCTGCTATAGTCATAAAACTCTTCTAATTCAGCTTCTTCATCATCATCACCATCACCATAATGCACTCTGCAATGATTCTTAGCTTCCATATGCTTCCGAACTGCTTCTAAACTGTTGAAAGGTAGACATCTGTAGTTGCAATACAAGCACATGAAATCCCTTTTAACCTGTACAGGAAAAAAGAAAAAGAATGTGAACACAGAAGATGGTTAAGGAAGGCTGGAAAAAAGTCTAGAGGAAGCACATATTCTACCTTGAGACCAAGGTAAGTAAGGAACCCTTTGGGATCCTTCAGATACTCAACATCAGGTATGAAGAATCCATGATTCTTGTGCATGTGAACCATGCAGCTCTCAATGGTCTTGTGTTCTTTATCACACATGAAGCAACACGATGGGTCTAAGTTTCCAACGTATTCATCATCACTATCTTCATCCATATTGCCATTAGATGTATGCTCATTCATCTTCAAGTCTGTTAAAGAATCGGTGGCTTCACTAATCATCTCTTCATCTGGATCAACCTCCTCCCATTCACTTTCATCACTTTCATCATTCTCCTCAATTTCCTCTTTAGCCTTGCGTGAAGTTTCATTTCGAGGGTGGCGTAGAAACGGCTTGATTGTAACACTATTCTCATTAGGATGACCTGGTTGTTGAGAAGCCCGCGCTAGGTGACTTTTAGATTTCAGATGCTGAGCATGAGCCTTGGAGCTTCTATACTCTTTGTCACACAGACCACAGGCATATAGCAATGGAGTTTCACTTAACTTTTCCTTCTCTTCTGCAAGAGCAGCCTGTCTGGCTAGAAAAATAGTCTCTCTCACTCCAGGAACTCCTGCGACCTGAAAAAACCATGCATGAGAGCAAAAACATCAATTCTGCATACTTACCATGAAGCCATTCCATAACAAACCATATGGAAGAGACGTAGACATATATAGTCATCAATCCTAAGCTTTGATGAATGATACATGAACTAAAGTCCCTAGTGAGGTAGCATTCAGTTGAAAAATATCAATTGGACACAGGTTCCTTTACCAGACTCATACTCTTCCTGGCCTATGAAGATAATAGGTAAAGAGGCCAGTGATATGTGGGATTTCGGTAACGAAACCAGAGATATAAAAAGAAAAAAAATCCTATGAAGCATCAAATATGACTTCCATTTTTCTGTCACCAAGTATAAAGGGTAACAATATGTCATTTCCCCAACAAAACCAAACTAGAAATTTATCCTTTTGAGTTAAAAAGATAAGGAGGAAGGTGTCACATTTGTAAGACACAAGAGTATGTCAAACCCTCCCCTCCCCCCAATCCTCTTCTGATAAGCAAGAAATCCTCCATGGCCAGCTGTACATAGTTCAAAACTTGACACACAATGAGTCTGACACTCAACCCTTCTTCACTTTAATATCAGTTCTTTTGTTCCTAACCCACATATCATGCTCAACACTCTTTTACTACTTACCATAATAAATCCCATCCCAATAATCAACTTACAACTACATAAGTCATGACGATACTGAACTTCACATTATCAGCTTAAAATTGAGTAAGCCTCTCACCCCCACCCCACAAAAATCCAGGTCCTTCTTATCTTTTACCCTAGCATCTAAACCTTCTCGAATCACTAATCTTCTACGCTTACTTCACAAAATAGAGCTCTACCAGAAGAACCTCTAACTACAGAAAAATTGAATTGGAATCATCAAATGATTCAAATCAAAAGCACCCTCTGTACTTATAAAATATCCTCTAAGCAACTGCCAATATTTTTACAATCATATGCTCTCGTGATCTTCATATTCCTAATGTTCATCTCTGCTTCATCCACCTAACTGATCCAAAGCTGATAATACACCAGCTGTGGACTTGGAGAAGCTCTACGCGTGACATCAAGTGTAATATTTACCCCTCTCGATTCTTAGCTCATGGTGACAACTGAACCCCGTCATCCTTTGGCTTCCCAGAAGGAGGGCTAAGGGAAGGGCATAGTTTTTCCCAGCAGGAACAAAAAAAAAAAGAAGCTACTTTATTTGTTACAACTATCTACACCTTGATGGATAAAGTCCTATTTGATGAAAGACGGCAAGTATTAATTAGTTGAGGTTGAGGTGCATCCAAGTTTACAATTTCTAGTTTATGGGTTTCAATCCACAATTCTTCTTTTTTCTGATAACCATGGTATACGGACCAGCTCACACGCACCTCCACAAAACATCTACCACCTCCCACCTACAACAAGTACTAGGTAACTCTATCCATCATCACCTAGTGTTTTATCTCTACTGCGATTTGAACTCGAGACCTCATGTTGCTCAACACAAATATTTTTCTTTACTGGGTTCTGGAAAGATTGAATCTTTCTAACACAAATACAAGGTTTAAGCCAAAATTAGGTAATTCTATCCATCATCACCTAGTGTTTTATCTCTACTGCGATTTGAACTCAAGACCTCGTGGTGCTCAACAGAATCATTTTTCTTTACTGGGTTCTGAAAAGATTGAATTTTTAAACACACATACAAGTTTTGAGCCAAAATAACTAGGTTATGACTTATGCCAAGCCTGTAACAAACAATCTGGCTCTGTCCCTGCACATAGGGGTTATGTTTAATCTGCCTAATTACAGAGGTTCCGAACCATTCAATCCAATACACAATAAACAGAAATTAAATCATTCAAAAAACGATTTTACCCTCTTCTTTTCAAATTCAAAAGGGGTTTTTGAGCAAATACCTTGCGTTTAAGATTGTATCGGTGCCATTCAGATTTGTAATGAAGCTTTTGCTCAGTATCATCAACAAATTCCTTGTCACAAGCGTTACAAGTTAAGCCTGGCATTTCAAAATCTTCAAAAATGGCGAATTTTGTAGAGGCTTTCTTCTTCTTCTTCTTTATATGCTGCGTGTAAGGGTTTGTATCACAAAAAGCTTTGAAGGAGGCGAGGCCGCTAGGCGGTCAATATTTAGGCCCTAATATCACAAAGTGCCCACATCTTATG